TAGATGGCTGGCCTAGGCTGGGGGCCACCCCACTGGTTCTAGATGGCTGGCCTAGGCTAGGGGCCACCCCACTGGCCCTAGATGGCTGGCCTAGGCCGGGGGCCACCCTCCTGGCCATAGCTGGCTTAGATAGGCTGAAGGTGACCCCACTGGCCATCGAAGCCTGGCCTGGGTTTGGGGCCACCTTGCTGGCTACCGATGGCTGCAATAGGCTTGGGGTCAACCTACAAGCCACAGATGGCTGCTGAGATACAGTAGCGACCACGTTACCAGAAGACAGACTTCTTGTGAGCCCTGTCCTGTGGGGTTTCTGGGACAAGCTCTCCTTGGGACTCACGGATCTTTGGCCTGAGGACATATCCCTGTCTGCTTGACCATCTGAGCCCCACTGGACACTCAAAGTCATGTGACTGGACGCTGAGCTGTGGTGCAGAATGGGGATCAGCTTTGAGGCTGCAGAGGGCTGTTGGTGGAGGTTTGGGATCGTGTGCGTATGGCCCACTATCTCAGTCTCTTCCACATCCCCAAGCCCCAGGGACCTTTCCATGGCCTCCCCAGAGAGGAAGGCATCTAGAAGGAGGTCCCCATCCAAGCTGGCCTCTTCTACCAGGTGGACGGCAGTCACGCTGGCCACGGAACTGGTGGAAAGGCTGTGCGAGCTGCAGCTATGCAGCGAGCTCTGGGAATTGCTCACATTCGGGCTGTAGTCCGTGGAGCCCTGAGAGAAGCTTCTGGCCAGGTCATCATCTAGATCCTGTGGCAAACTGGCCACCAGTTCCCTGAGTGTATGGCCTGTCAGCAGCTCCTGTGGGCAGTGCGCGCCAGAAATGGTACCCTGCAGTTGATTCCTCTCCCGCCCAGGGGTGGCTGTACGGAGGAGGGTGGGTGCCAACCTACGGCCTGCGGAGGCTGGGGACAGGCTGGGATCTACCTGAGTCTTGGGTGCCCAGCGATGAGCAGGAGCCACGGAGCCAGGCAGGAGAAGCGGGATTATGTCACAGGGGGTGGGTGGTCGGGTTGGGGGCACTTTGCCCATGGCAGCCCGCAGTGGACTTGAGGTCACCTTGTTGATCATCTCCCTAGTGCCTGTGGAGGTCCCTTCATGATCTAGGGACTGGCTCTTCTGCATGGCCTCCTCAGGGACCACAGGTGGCTGTTGTGGACCTTTGGCCACTAAGGGTCGATACACACTGGGGGGCACCCTGCTGACCCTGGAGGTCTGACACCCACAGCCGGACCCCCCATAGGCGGCAGCACGCTGGTGGGAGTGGGCAGCCCTCCCACCGCCCACAGTGCTGGGCAACTTGCCTGGGGCCACCCTGCCCTGCCCGGACGATGCCCACGGATGTGAGGCCACCCTGCTGACCATGTGTGGATTGTGGGAGCTCATGGCCGTGCCACTGGCCACTGATGGCCGGCTGGTGCTTGGGCCCACGCCATTGGCAATGAGCGGCTGCCACAGACTAGGGGGAGGCTGCAGGTAGGGTGACTTGGGCAAACTGGGGCCCATGTCACTCACCACAGGGTTGAGGTCTGATGCCAATTCACAGACCCTTGGGTGTGGGCAAACACTTTCTTCACTGATCTCAGGGCTCAGATACAGGTTTAAGGAGAATTCCCTGCTGGGTCCCCTCTCCCACGGTAGACAGGGGTCCAGGGCCGCAATCAGGAGATAGAGATGAATGGTGGTGATCACCCTACAGGTCAAGGAGGCTCCCACAGAGACCACTGAGGAGCAGGGTGACCCCCCAATCACGGCCCCATCCCCCATCCCCTCCAAGAGCCTGGCAGGCCCGCCTGTGACGAAGCCCTCCCAGACCCCAGCCTGGGGAACCCTGACCTTGTTGGGCTGTGGTCTCCTGGGGCCCAAGGTGGGCCCACACGCGGCTGCCGGGCTCCCCATCTGGTCCACCTCCACCGGGGTGGGCATCACAGCCAGCCCGCTTCTCGCCGTTTTTGTGGTGGCCTTGGGGAGGATGACTCCAGTCCTCAGGGCCGCCTGAGACACAGACTGGCTCAGGACGGCGCCCAGCTCACCCTGACACAGGGCTTGGCTCAGGGTGGCTTGCTCCTCCTCCGTCAGGGCCTTGCTGAGCGCATCCGCCAGTTTGCCCTGTGTGGCCTTAGTGAGTTTTGCCTGCAGTTCGCCCCAAGACAGGGTGCGGGACAGCGCGATGTCCAACTTGCCCCAGGACAGCACCTTCACCAGTGCCGTGCCCAGCATGCCTGGGGACAGGGCCTTGGCCATCGTGGTGCCCAGGACTTCGCTGGACAGGGCCTGATTCAGGGCTGCCCTTGCTTCCCCCTGGGAGAGGGCTTTTGCCAGCAGGGCACGGAGGTCTTCCCGGGATCCCAGCAGGGCCACCAGCTCAGCACACAGCGAGGCAAGCTGGGCAGCTGCCAGCTCCTCCTGGCAGGGCACAGCCGGGCTGGCTGTTGACGGCTGGGCCCAGGCGGCCCCGCTGTCACCCCAGGATTCAACGTTGCACGTGGAGTGTCCGGCGGACACCAGCAGAGGCACTGGCAAGCTCTGGGTCTCGGAGGCTCCCTGGTGTGGGCCCTGGGTGGCCTTGCCCTGTGCGTAGCTGTGGGGCGGGAACTGGGCTAGTCTGTCCTCCCGCTTGGCTCGGAGCCGAGTGCCAAGGGTGCCAACATGCTGGCAGGGCTGGGAGGAGGCCTTGAACCCGGCCAGGAATGGCTGGGACTGGGTCTTGCTGCTGAGCTCAGCAGCCTGGTGGGCTGTGTAGAGGCATTTGGCTGTTTCCGAGACCAGCTGGGCCTGGGACTGGGCCTTGGTCAGCGCGGCGGGCAGATGCACTTGGGACTGGACCTTTATTGCTCCTGCGGCCAGATGTGCCTGGGACTGCGCCTTGGTTAGATGTGCGTCCAGGTGTGCCAGGGACTGGGTCTTGGTCAGCTTGGCAGGCAGATATGCCTGACATGAGGTTGTGGTTGAACGTGTGGCCAGCTGTGGCTGGGCCAGGGCCTTGGCTGGACGTGTGCCCAGCTGTGGCGGGGGCAGGTCCACCGCCGTTTCTACAGGCCCATACACCTGGGACTGGACCTTCCTGACATCCATCCTCAGATGTGCCGTGCTCCCATCCTCAGCCACTTTTGCCCAGGAGGAAGCCCTGGGCATTTCCACGGTCACACATGTGTTAGATACTGTTTCCATTTTCGCTTGTCTCTGGGGGAAGGGCTTAATCAGCTCACCTTCCAGAGGAGGCCCGGCAGAAGCCTCAGGAGCGCCAGCCCCCAGGTGTGGCGGGGGGAAGTACTTCACCTTTCCCTCAGTCAAGTACGAGTGGGACGAGACCTTGACCATCCCCGCTGCCTGCCTTGCATCCACCACAGCCTTGGCCTTTGGTCCATTTAAAGACGTGTGGGACGAGGTGTTGGGAATCGCAGCTGTCACCGCTGTAGGAGGTGGAGCCTTCAGATTGCTGGCTGCTGGAGGGGGCAGGCACAGGGTCCTGAGGATGGCGGCCACCGAGCGTAACTGGGCTGGGGTCTTGGTTATCATGGCTGTCAGGCGCGTCTGGGGAGGGATCTTGGTCACTGAGGCTCCCGGGTGCGTCTGAGATGGGGTCTTGGCCATCGCTGGACACATCTGCAGTGGGGTCTTGGTCACCGTGGCCATGGGGCACATCTGGGGTGGGGTCTTGGTCATCATGGCCGCTGGTCGTGTCTGGGTTGGGGGCTTGATCATCGAGGCCAATGGGCACACCTGGGGTGGGGTCTTGGCCATCGTGGCCACTGGACATGTCCGCAGTCGGGTCTTGGTCATCGTGGCCATGGGGCACATCTGGGGCTGGGTCTTGGTCATCATGGCCACCAGGCGTGTCTGGGGTGAAGTGTTGGTCATCGAGGCTGTTGGTCTCATCTGGACTGGAGTCTTGGTCATCGGAGCAGCTGGGCAAGGCTGGGGTGGGATCTTGGTCATCATGGCTGCTGGGTACATCTGGAGTAGAGTCTTGTTAATCATGGCCGCTAGGCACGAGTGGAGTGGCGTCTTGGTCATCGTGGCTGCTGGGCTCGTCTGCGGTGGAGTCTTGGTCATCGGGGCTGCCAGGCTTGCCTGGGCTGGGGTCTTGATCCCCGGGGCTGCCAGGTACATCTGGGGTGGGGTCTTGGTTATTGTTACCGTGGGCACTGGGCACGGCTGGGGTGGGGTCTTGGTCATCATGGCCACTGGATATGTCTGGGGTGGGGTCTTGGTCATCGTGGCCGCTGGATACGTCTGGGGTGGGGTCTTGGTCATCGTGGCCGCTGGATATGTCAGGGGTGGGGTCTTGGTCATTGTGGCCGCTGGAGATGTCAGGGGTGGGGTCTTGGTTATCACAGGTGGTGGGCCTGCCTGGGGTGGGGCTTTGAGGACCTCTGTTTCCACGTGGGTCTGGGTCTGGGTCTTGAGCGGTCCGTGAACTGCCTGGGCATACCTTCCAGATGGTGGTGGCCCTGAGGCTCCTGCCTTACTGGCTCTGGAAGTTACTTGCTTGGTCTTCATCACATCCCCTTCTACATGGTGGACAAGGCAGGCACTTCTGGCAGCTCTCGTCACCAGGCATGGCTGGCGCTTCGCGTCTAGACTCACTGGACACGGCAGTCTGATGGTGATAGTTTGGTGTGGCAGGAAGGTGACGCCCGGGCCACCAACAGCACAAGGAGCTTGTGTGCTGGGCTGTGGAGCACCCTGGGGCTGTGACAGGGCCAGCTGGGGGGCGCAGGCAGCCAGGCTGTCAGAGGAGGGGAACTGGGTCTCCCTGCTCACCATGACGGGCTGGGTCAGAAGGGACCTGCCCTCCTTCGGGTGCTGGAAGCGCACCTGCTGCGGGGGGTGGTAAGGGATGTCCCCCTCCTCCACGTTCACTTTTCTCTCCACTGCCTTGCCCGAGCGGAGGAGGCGCCTGGTGCTGAAGCGCCGCCAGGCCTCCTGGATGGCCTTCGCGGCCGTCATCTGGGAGACCAGCTTCTGCCGGAGCCGGTAGCCCCTCCAGTTGGCTTGGATGAGGGTGGCTGCGCGGGACAGCATCATGTCCATCTCGTCCACCAGGACGTTCTTGAAGGCCTGGCTCTCCACCACGGCCCGGAGGCGTGGGATGCAGCGAGGCACCGTCTTGTCCTTGTCCGGCTGTGGCAGAAGGGTCTCTCTGGATGCAGGCAGCTCATGCTGGGGCTGTGGATACAATGTCCCCGCTTTGTCTGGGAGATCGGGGACGAGCTGGGGCTGGCAGGAACTCTGCCCATTGGGTGGCGGCTGTGGCTGTGCTGCTTGCTGCATTGTCTTGGTTCCCGGGCGGGTCGACTTTGCCTGTGGGGGCGGCAGGGAGGGGCTCAGGGAGCGTGGTCATGCAGACGAGAGGTGTCTGGCTGGGGCGGCACTCACGTCGGAACCTACATCTTCTTGTTCCTGGCTCTTCGTAATCTTCCTCCTCTCCTTTGCAGGCCCTCTCTCTCCCAGCCACCTGCCCAGGTGGCTTCTGAGACCTATATCTCCCTCCTCATCCTGTGGCGACTTCAGTGCACATCTCACCTGAGTGCCTGACCACCTACCTCATCTCACGCTTCCTCTGCACCTGGGACACACTGAGAGTACAGCACTGGTCGCACTGCTTTGGGAATTTCCTCTTTGTCTGTATGTGTGTGTGTTGTTATTTGCCTCTCCCCGTTGATTGTGAATTCCTAGAGGGCAGGAACCAGGTCTGAGTCATTTCTGTGTCCCCGTCTCAGTCATAGGGCCTAGCTGTGAATGGGTGGGTGTTGGGTGAGCAGCTACCTTGACTAATAAAGGAGTGGGTAAGTGGATTGGAAATTGGATGGATAAATGGATGCATGACTAGATACTGAATGGATAAATCAGTGGATGAACGAATGGTGGATGGGTTGGAGAGACAGATGAAGGGTTGGTTGGGTGGAAGAATGGATGAGTGAAATTAATGAATGAATTGATGAACAGATCAATAAGGAAATGGACACATGGATGGATGGATGGATGAGTGGGTAAATAGATGAATGAATAGATGGGGGGATGGGTAGGGTGGAGGGATAAATAAATAGATTGATGGGCCGGCCCGGTGGCGCAAGCGGTTGAGTGCGTGCGCTCTGCTGCGGTGGCCCAGGTTCGCCAGTTCGGATCCCAGGCGCGCACCAACGCACCACTTGTCAGGCCATGCTGTGGTGCATCCCATATAAAGTAGAGGAAGATGGGCATGGATGTTAGCCCAGGGCCAGTCTTCCTCAGCAAAAAAAGAGGAGGATTGGCAGATGTTAGCTCAGGCCCCATCTTCCTCAAAATAAATAAATAAATAGATTGATGGATAGAAGAATGGATGGATGGATGGATAGATAGATGAGTGGGTAAATTGGTGGGTAGATGAGTGAATGGATGAATAGATGGATGGAAGGAGGGTGGGAGGGAGGAAGACAAGGAGGATTGGATGGATGGGTGGGTGGAGGGATAAGTGGATAGATGGAGGGAGGGAGGAACGGATGGATGGATAGATGAGTGGGTGGGTGGACAGTGGATGGATGAAATCTGAGTAGATAAATGGGTGTGTGAATGAAGAGAGCTGAAGGAACAGGTGAAGAGATCAATGAATAGGAGGTGGACTGATGAAAGGCTGAATGGGTTAGTGAACAGGCGGTGGATGACTGATAGGTGATGGATAGATCAATGGCAGGTGGAGGGATGGGTAGAAGGAAGAATGAGGGGGTGACTGTGGCTTTCAGAAGTACCTTGGTGCAGAGAGAGTTGGGATGCTGTCAAGCAGCCCTGATGCATAATCTGGAGCATAACACGCTTGTTTGGCAGAAGTCCCCCCCTTCCGGCTGGACCAGTCCGACCCCTTGCCCAGATATCTTCATACCTTGGAGGGTCATAGAGTTGAAAGAGGAGCAGGAGAAGAAGGTGCAATCTCAGAAGCCAGCTTGCAAGAGGAAGCAGCTTTCAGCTCTTCATCCCATGCAATGTGCAGCAACACTGCCCTGGGCTGGCTCTGTCCTCAAGACCAACATGAGAAGAGGCGTTAAAAGCGAAAAAAACCCTAAAGTCTCAAAACAAAAAACTTTTAAGTTCACAAAGATGAATGTACAAAGATATTTATTCCAGTGTCATTTTGTACGTAAAAATAAAACTGGAAATAACCAAAAAGGTGATTGCTCAGGATCAGTTCCAAGTGCATAAAGAAGGGTGTTCAAGATGTGCATCACTGTATTGGATAGAAAAGTCAAAACTGAAAACAACCCAAGTGCTTATCAACGGGAGTTGGCTTAAATTAATCAACTGAACATTCACGCAGGAGTATGCTATCCAGCCATGAGAAATGGTGTCCACATCCACAACAGCAGCTAAAATTAAAAAGATGGATGCATCGTGACCACTTGGGGAATCCGTCAGCATCTTGAAGGCAAGTCATCAATTCCACCCTGACGAATACACTCACGAGGTCCAGATGTCTATACTCACCCGAAAGCAGAAACCATCCAAATGCCCATCAACAGGAGAATGGAAAAATCAACTGTATATTAATATATCACTATAAATAAATGTCAATAGAAATACTAATTTATAGGGCCGGCCCCGTGGCTTAGCGGTTAAGTGCGCGCGCTCCACTACTGGTGGCCCGGGTTCGGATCCCGGGCGCGCACCGACGCACCGCTTCTCCGGCCATGCTGAGCCCGCGTCCCACATACAGCAACTAGAAGGATGTGCAGCTATGACATACAACTATCTACTGGGGCTTTGGGGGGGAATAAATAAATAAATAAATAAATATTATAAAAAAAAAAGAAATACTAATTTATAAAGCAACGAACCCCACACAGCTCCGCGATGAGAATGAGCTCTGCTACACAGTCAGGCGTAGTTTAACGCCAGGGACATGTCCTGAGAAATGTGCCATGAGGCGATTTCGTTGTGTGAACATCAAAGAGTGTATTTACCCAAACCTAGACGGCACAGCCTGCTCCACACCCAGGCTCTACACTGATCTTATGCAACCACAGTCGTCTACGCGGTCTGTCGTTGACCGGAACATCGTCATGCGGTGCTTGGCTGTATAGATGAATCTCATACACATTATTTTGAGTGAAAGACATAAAAGAGGACAAACTTGTTATTCTAATTATAGGAAATTAAAAGGGAACCAAAGAAATTAGGCTCTGCTGCTAGGAATCAGGACAGTGACTGACCTTGTGGTGGGTGGCTGGGAGGGGGCATGAGAGGGCTTCAGGGGCCAGTCATGTGGGTCTGCTCGGAGTGTGAAAATCCAACCTGGGTGCTTTCCTCTGTGCATGACCTCCATAAAGAGGCCAAAATACTTCTAAGTGATATTGAGGATATGTAACGATGTGAGCAAATAGTCACAGCATAATCATAAATGAAAACTGCAAGTTGCAAATCCATATGCACTATCTGACATGGTTTTTTAAAAATATTCTGTACAAACACACACACACATTGGAATATGCATAGAAAATCTAGAAGCATAAACATCAATTTGACAAATGATTATATAGATCTTCCTCGACTTACGATAGGATTACATCCCGATAAACCCATTGTAAGGTGAAAATATTGTAAGTTGAAAATGCATTTAATACACCTAACCTATAGAACATCATAGCTTAGCCTAACACACCTTAAACATGCTCAGAACACTTACGTTAGCCTACAGTCGGGCAAAATCATCCAGCACAGAGCCTATTTTATAGTAAAGTATCTATTTATTGATATTCTATTTATTGATATATCTATTTATTGATCTATTTATTGATATTCATATGTAATTTATTCGTAAGTAATTTATTGAACACTGTACTGAAAGTGACAAACAGAATGGTTGTAAGTGTATCAGTTGTTCACCCTTGTGATTGCCTGGCTGACGGGGAGCTGTCGCTACCCAGCATCACGAGAGAGTATCATACTGCACATCACTAGCCTGGGAAAAGATCAAAACTCAAAATTTGAAGTACAATTTCTACTGAATGTGTATCATTTTTGCACCATCATAAAGTCGAAAAATTGTAAGTTGAACCATAGTAAGTCGGGGACTGTCTGTATGTGCATGTGTGTGCATGTGTTTCTGTGAGGGGTGGGCTCATGGGGGACTTTAGTGAACAAAATTTCAATTAAAAAATTAGGGGGGGCTGGCCCTGTGGCGTAGTGGTTAAGTTCAGCGTGCTTCACTTTGGTGGCCCGGGTTCTTGGGTTCGGATCTGGGAGCAGACCTACACCACTCATCAGCCATGCTGTGGCAGCATCCCATATACAAAACAGAGGAAGACTGTCACAGATGTTAGCTCAGGGCCAATCTTCCTCAACAACAACAACAAAAAAAATTAGGGATTTTGCCCTTTTAGTCAAGGTGGCAGAATGACATGATGTGGGAACCAGACCCCCTTCACTCAAACCTGGAAATGATGGATAAGATATTTAACAACAATGTTACCACGACCAAGCTCTCACTCATGGATGAGATGCAAATATGCTAAAGAAAACATGACCAGTTATCAAAAATAATAATACTATAGCCAAGTAGTATTTATTCCAAGGCTGTAAGAATGGTTCGACATGTATAAATCCCCAAAGTCATTCATTACATCTAGAAATTAAAAAGACAGCCATACAATTTTGTGTGTGTGTGTGTGTGTGTGTGTGTGTGTGTGAGAGGAAGATCAGCCCTGAGCTAACATCCATGCTAATCCTCCTCTTTTTGCTGAGGAAGACCGGCTCTGAGCTGACATCTATCACCAATCCTCCTCCTTATTTTTCCCCCAAAGCCCCAGTAGATAGTTGTATGTCATAGCTGCACATCCTTCTAGTTGCTGTATGTGGGACGCGGGCTCAGCATGGCCGGAGAAGCGGTGCGTCAGTGCGTGCCCGGGATCCGAACCCGGGCCGCCAGGAGCTGAGCGCGCGCACTTAACTGCTAAGCCACTGGGCCAGCCCCCAACAGCTACTTCCTTTTTTTTTTTTTTTTTTTAATAATTTTATTTATTTATTTTTCCCCCAAAGCCCCAGTAGATAGTTGTATGTCATAGCTGCACATCCTTCTAGTTGCTGTATGTGGGACGAGGCCTCAGCATGGCCGGACAAGTGGTGCGCCGGTGCGCGCACGGGATCCGAACCCGGGTCGCCAGCAGCGGAGGTCGCGCACTTAACCGCTAAGCCACGGGGCCGGCCCCCAACAGCTACTTCTAATAAAAACTTATAAAATTAGATAGGATAATACCTAAAAATTGTAAGGCTAACCACAAAACCACAGCAAATGTCGTTTCGAATGACAAGACCCTGAAGTTGTCTCCCTGAAAGGAAGGAGCAAGAGGGGCGGTTGGCCGCCTGCTGCAGCAACCATCGTGTCGTCGTGTCTGGTGGTCACAACAAAAGCACGAGGACAGGGACTTGAATAATCAGCGCAAATATTTGAAAAGGAGAGCTAAGCTGGTGCAGGGATTGTCTACCTAGAAGACCTAAAGGGTATTTAAACATGTGTGTCCCATCTTTCCTAAGTTATGTGGCTGCATACAAAACCAACAGCTTTTCTGGACTGGAGGCAAAACCAGCTGGAAATGGAAATGGGAAAAAAATACCACTCACAGTAATGTCAAAAACTATACAATTCATAGGAACAAACTTTACACAAAAGCCAAAAGAGTCATATGAAGGCCAGGAAAGGAGACAAAAGCCATCTGAAAGGTGAACCAGGAGGTCAGGAAGAAAGAATTCACATAACTTAGTATTATACAACGGCGCAACTCACAGAGCATAATTTATGTCCAGTTAGAATCTCAATGGAGAGTTTTTTGAAAATGGAAGGAATGATTTCAATGTTCAAATGGAAGAGTGAATGAGAGCAGCCAAGAAGATCACGAACAAGAGGAGTAATTAAGAGGACCTCGACTTACCAGAGGCACAAACACACTTGAAAGCCGTCACGGCCAAACAGTACTGTACCCTCCAAGGACTATACAGCAGACCATGGTGACAGAAAAGCAAAACCAGAAATTGATCCCAATGTACCAATGGCACATCATATTTCAATTCAAGAGGGAAAAATCATGTGTTTAAACAAATGGTACAAGGTAATCCATCTGGAAGAACATAAGCTTGGACTTCTATTTCATGTCATATATCAAAAAATTTCAGGTGGATTAAAAATATGAGAATATTCATTAGAATGTGTATATAGCCTGTGAATCAGGGAGCTCTTATAAAACTAAACAGGAAATGCAGAAGCTCTGAAAAAGACAAATATGTTTGACTTCATAAAGAGAAAAAAATTGTATGGCAAATGATGCCATAAATAAGGCCAAAAGACAAAAGATTGGGGAAAATGTTTGCAATGCGTGTGATAATGAGTCCAAGTTAATTGCCTGCTAAAATAAAAATACCCAGACTCTTTGGAAGACTGTAACAGAACCCAGAGCCTCCACAACATAACATTCACAATGTCTAGGATATAATCCAAAACGACTTGACATATGAATAAACAGGAAATAATCCAAAACAACTCGACATATGAATAAACAGGAAAATGCGACTCATCTCTTGAGAAAAAGTTATCAACGGAGTATGACCCTAAGATGCCCCAAATCTTGGAATTAGCAGGCAAGAATTTTAGAGCAGCTATTATAATTATGCTAAATAGAAAAATATGCTCATAATGAGTGAAGAGATGGGGAATCTCACCAGAGAAATAGAAAAAAATAGATATTAGAAAAGCAGTATGGGCTGGCCCGGTGGCGCAAGAGGTTAAGTGTGCGCACTCCACTTCAGTGGCCTGGGGTTCACAGGTTCAGATCCCAGGCGCACAGTGACGCACTGCTTGTCAAGCCATGCTGTGGCGGCGTCCCATATAAAGCAGAGGAAGATGCACACAGATGTTAGCCCAGGGCCAGTCTCCTCACAAAAAAAGAGGAGGATCGGCATGGATGTTAGCTCAGGGCTGATTCTCCTCACAGAAAAAAGAAAAAAAAAGAAAAGAAAAGTAGTAGGTGGAAATTCTAAAATTGAAAATAATATCTGAAATCTAAAAATTCTCTGGATGGGCTAAATAGCAGAGTGCAGAAGAGTCAGTGAGCCTGAATATAAATAGATAGAAATTATCCAATCTGAAGAACACAGAGGGAAAAGAAAAGTGAGCCATAAAGCAAGCCTTAGGAACTGCGGGACAATATCAAAAGATCTATCGTATGTGTAATTGCGATCCCAGAAAAAAGAGGAGGGCATAAAAATATTTGAAGAAATAACGGCCAAAATGCATTGAAAATTGATTTTACAGATTTTAAAAGCTCAGCAAATCCTACGTAAGATAAATACACAGAAAGACACACCTGGGTTTGACACAGTCAACGTTCTGAAAAACAAAGATCAGGTCTGGAAATCAGTCAGAGAAAAATAACACATAACACACAGTGGAGCAACGATTCAGCTGGCTTCTCATCAGAAACGACGGAAGCCGGAAGACAGTGGAACCCCCGTGAAGCACTCAGCCCAGTCGGGAGACAGAAACCACACAGAAGACTACACCAGCTAAGTTTAATATAAAGAATTATTAATGATAATAAAAGAGTATAAGATAAAAGGAAACTCTATGTGTTTTCCGAAGGCTGAGGGGGTGTCTGCAAGGAAGGCAAATTTGGAACAGGTTCAGACCTCCTGGGAGAAGACGTGGTTCGGCCCACCAGACGGCAGAGACGTTTGCTGATTTGGTCAGGCAAGAGCAGGTCTGGAGTTCCCAGGCAAGAAAAGGCTGCCCCCAAGGGCAGGTGCAAGAGCCGGTGATCAGCCATTGGCAACGTGAGCACACACCCCGAGGCCAGGTGCTGGTGGGCACAGGGACCTGCAGAGTGCACGGGCTACTGTGACAGCTCTTGCTTTGGGGTCAAGAAGGCTAGAGAAAGATTTTCACCAGGTCAAGGCTGCAAAGTTGCAGAGGAACGATGTTCTGGACACACACCTGGGGCAGGTTCCCCTGGGGTCTTCACAGCTCCACCACTGGCCCCTCTGGCTGGAGAGCCTCTTCCTCCTGCAGCGTCTCAGCAGCACCCTCTACTGAGGCAGGTTAACAGCATACTCACTCGAAAGGTGACAATTAAGGGAACGCCTCTCTCTTTCACAGAGCACACATTGAGAGGTGCTTCTGGAGCCCAGAGGCAATATATTGAGGACTGACACACTCTGCTGAAGGAAAAACCCGCTACCAACCCATAATTCTACACCCACGGAAAATATCCTTCGAGAATAAAGTTAAAATAAAAACATGTTCTGATAGGGCCAGCCCAGTGGCTTAGCGGTTAAGTGCGCGCTCTGCTACTGGTAGTCCGGGTTCGGATCCCGGGCGCGCACTGACACACCGCTTCTCCGGCCATGCTGAGGCCGCGTCCCACACACAGCAACCAGAAGGATGTGCAACTATGACATACAACTATCTACTGGGGCTTTGGGGAAAAAAAGGAGGATTGGCAATGGATGTTAGCTCAGAGCTGGTCTTCCTCAGCAAAAACAGGAGGATTAGCATGGATGTTGTTGCTCAGGGCTGATCTTGCTCACAAAAAAAAAACACACACACATGTTCGGATAAAAGAAAACAGCAAATCTGTCACCTGTACTTACACCTGTACTATAAGAAATACTAAGAAAGCTTTCAAGCTGAAGGAAACTCAGATCACTGAAAAGAAATGAAGAGCACATCAGAGATGGTAAATATCTGCATCAATAGGAAAGACCTCTTTTTCCTCTTTTGTAAAAAAAAATACATATAGGGACCGCCCCGTGGCGTAGCGGTTAAGTGCGCGTGCTCCGCTGCTGGTAGCCCGGGGTTGCGAACCCAGGCGCGCACCTACGCACCACTTGTCAAGCCATGCTGTGGTGGCGTCTCATATAAAGTGGAGGAAGATGGGCATGGATGTTAGCCCAGGGCCAGTCTTCCTCAGCAAAAAGAGGAGGATCAGCATGGATGTTAGCTCAGGGCTGATCTTCCTCACACACACAAAACAAACATATGACTGGATAAGCAGAAATTAAAACATTGCCTTGTGGCATTTAAAATCTGTTGTAGATGTAATCCATACGACAAATGAAGCATACAGGATAAGAGTGGGGATGTGAAGGACACACAGTTGAAAAGTTTTTACATTTTTGAAAAGTTTTTACATTTTAGGTGAAGTGAACAACAGTAACTCTAAGTCAGTTGTGCCTTAAGGATTATGTTAAGGATGTATATTATAATTCCTTGAGCAGCCAAAAAAAAAAAAAAAAAGAAATAGTTAACTTATGGATGGATGGTTGGATGGATGGTTGGATGGATGAGTACAGCCCAAGATTCAGAACTTGGAGATGGCAGCTTCAGGACCTGAATGGGTCCATCCCAGAGTCTGGGGTTTCATCAACCACATGGTTCAGCCCTTTTGATAAATTCAACCAAAACGAGAGCACAGATGACACAGTGAGAGAAATGGGATTACAGGGGACGGGAAGAAGGAATAGGAGCCCCTGGACACATAAGCCACGTGGCTGGTTCAGCAATTATGACTAAACCCCTCTGACCCTCAGTTTCCCTATCTGTCACATGAGCTTAGACCACTCTCCCAAGCTCCCAAGGAGAGGTGATACGCTCTCCCAGCTGGGTCCTCAAAGCAGACAAACCCATCTTCAGGTCTTTGGGGGCCTCTGGCACCCCTGCTCTGCGGGCTGAGGAGCTGACCCACCTCTCAGAGTGGACTAGAGGGCCCAGGGGGACTCTGAGGGTGCTGGGGGCCAGGGGAGAATGACCGGGCCCCCATGAGCTCCCCGCCACACCCTCCACCAGCCCCACTCACCTGCCCCTGAAGCTGAACCCACCAGCCCGAATGGCCAGCCTCGGGGCCCTGGTGCCACAGGGCCTTTGTGAGTCACGGCCAAGACCCAGCCAATCCCCTCCAGCTCCTGGGGGGCGGGGTTCTAGAAGGCAGACTTAGTGGGGCGGGGCAGGACTGGGTCAGGGTTTAGGGTCGTAGTGGTTGCTACATATTGCCTGCCCATCCTGAACAGAAAGTTAGGGCTCTGAGCACAGAGGGGACCCCAAAATCTCCCATGTGTCTGGAGGCAGCATCCATGTCTTATCCCTTGGGCGTTTGCCGAGCGCCTACTTTGTACTGGGACCTGATCTGGGCCTGGGGACACAAACAACTCCAATAAAATAGGGGGTGTGAAACTGATAGGAAGGAGTCAAAGAAGGGATGGGATGGGCTGAGCCCCACAGGAGGGGAAGAGACAGTCATGGGAGGGAGGGCATCGCAGGCAGAGGGCACAGCACGGGCAAAGGCTTGGGGTGGGAACAGGCTGGGCGTGATGAGGGACCGTGGAGGAGGCTGATATGGCTGGAGGCCAGGGCGACAAGAGAGGGAGGAGGGGCTGAACGGGGGGCCTCGGAGAGGAGCACAAGACTTTGGGTTTTATTGAGAAGGCCAGGGGAGCCATGAGAAGGTTCGGAGCAAAGGGGGCATAGGCTCTGATTTGGGTCCTGAAAGGCTGGGCTGGGGCTCTATGTCTGGCTCTGAGGACAGGGGCTCCCTAGGGCGGGGCTGGGCCCAAGGCCCCTTGGGATCCCCACATGGCCCGGCAAAAGTGGGCATTGACTATGAGCCACAGTCCTGGAGGAGAGAGTGAAGCCACTGTCCCCGACCACCTCCTGGGGCTGTGTCGAGGCCTGGCGTGAATCACCGCTGGCCAGGCCTGGGCTGACACACACCTTGGCCTCAGCTCAGCAGGGTCCAGCGAAAGCCACACAGCCTGGCCCCAAGGCCTCTGCCTGGCCTCCTCGGGGAGCCCCTGGGGGGCAACAGAGCAAGAGGCCAGCAGGGCCGCCCAGCCTCACTGCACAGAGACCCCCTAGTCTTCTCCAAACTGTGGGTGTAGCTTTGGGCAAATCCAGGGATGTGGCAGTTGGACAGGACATATGTCCTGTCTCCACAGTGACCAGGACAGTTCCCGTCCATGCCCTCAGTGAGCAAGACACAAATCCAGAGCAGCCAGGGCAATGATGGCAGAAGCACAGAGCACTGTGGGAGCCCAACAAGGCCTTGGCCAGCCTGGGGGCCACTGGCGACCAGCGTTGGAGGAGGAGGAGGAGGGCATCTGCCTCTGAGGTTGAGAGGTGGCACTCAGCTGGGTGGCTGAGGGAAGATGCTTACCAGGCTGGCAGCTGCAAAGGCCCTGAGGCCGGAAGGAAAGGAAACAGAGGGTTTGGGTGGGGAGGTACCCGGAGAGAACCATCTTACTCCTCCAGGGTCAGGTGCAGTCAAGGACTTTTTTCCAGAAAGGTTTCAAGGAGGAACCAGGTCTGTGGCTTTCAAAAAGCCCCTCAGATCACACGCTAGTGAAAGAGGCCTCGGCTGAGCCCCAGGGTTGCTGGGCGCACACCGGAGGCCAGCTCTGCCATTCCTGAGACTCACAGAATCTCTGCGTAAGAGTGTCTTTTGTATGCTAACAGGATGACTGGCGGCTGGGAGAGCCCCTGGGTAGCTCCAGGATGGGGGGTGGTCACCAGAAAGACCCAGGCATTACTAGAGGGTGGGAAATTTCAGCCCCACCCTCCCCCAACATGTGGGGAGGGGAGACGGGCTGAAGACGGAGTTAGTCACTGAAGGCCAGCAATTGACTCAGTCACGCCTGCGCAGTGAAGCCTCCGGGCTTCAAAGAGCTCCCGGGTGGGTGGGCGCATGGAGGCGCCAGAGGGTGGCGCACCCAGAAAAGGCATGGAAGGTCCACACCCCTTCCCCACGCCTCGACCTCTGCATCTCCTCCACTGGCTGTTCCTGAGTTGTATCCCTTATGATAAACCAGTGATAATAAGTCAAGTGCCTTCCTGGGCTCTGTAAGCCGTTCTGGCAAATTACTAAACCTGAGGAGGGGATTATGTAAAACCCCGCTTTATAGCTGGTTGGTGGGAAGTACAGGTGGCCACCCGGGACTCGCTCCTGGCGTCTGAAGTGGGGCAGTCTTGGGGGACTGAGCCCTTACCCTTTGGGGCCTGTGCTAACTCAGGGTAGACAGCGTCAGAACTGAATTGTGGGACACCCCAGTTGCTGTCTGGAAGTTGGAGAATTGGTTGGTGTGGGAAAAAGACCCCACACATCTGGTATCAGAAACGCTGTGAGTACAAACAGTGCAGGCGGGTGTCGGGCAGGCCTCGCCACCTCCGTGGGCCTCCACTTCTCTGTCGATTGGGGGCTGCCCGGGGCGTCCTCGAGTATCATCTCGTTGTTGTTCGTCCCCCAAGCACTTCCAATCTCTGACCTGGCAGATGGGAGATGGTGCCTGGACATGAACACACCCATTTCACAGCACAGGAGGTGGAGGCCAGAGTGGGGAGAGGACTGGGCTGACGTCACGTGGTGAGGTCACACAGTTAAAAAAACAAACCCCGAAGCAGCCCTTGAAGCCTCCACAAATGGGCAGAGCCGGGCCGATAGCGAGAGGATATGTGCAGGTGCAGCAGCCTGGTTCTCTCCACGGCTGAGGGACTGCGGGCACACGGCTTCCCTTCTGTGCCCCTCCGCGTCCTCATCTAGAAGACAGGCATGCCTCACCACCCACCTTCAGTGCCCGATACATGCCCGCCAGCTTGACTTACCCTGTGTCCTTGGCCACCAATGCTCATGTCCCTCCAGGCCCCAAGCGAGGCAGAAGCCCAAGGCCCACGGTCTTTTGCCCCCACAATAGGAAAGGCCAGAGCAGACAGGAGAAGAGGGTAGCCTGGCAGTCAAGGCTCTGGAAGTGAGAAGCCGAGGTCCAAATGGCCCTGCAGAGCCTCCTCAAAAGGCTGTGTGACCTCAAGCCAATCACTCAACCTCTCTGAACCTTCGTCTCCTCAAAACAAGAGAATAGGATGTTTAGGGGAGGGTACTTCAGGGAGTCCTTGGAAAATCCTGGAGTCCAAGTCAGTGCCCTGAAAGGGAGTTGCCACAGCAGTCAGCACACCTCCAGTCCTGGAGGCAGACTCCCGGGCTCAGATCCCACCTGTGCCACCTTCCTTCTGGGCCTGAGACTCGGTTTTCCCATTCACCAACCAATAATAAGAGCTTACATTGAGCACCATCTGTAAGCCAAGCACTGCCCTGTAAACAAACTCTCACTCCCCGAGGCTTTATGGAGTAAATCCAGTATGTTGTTCTGCCTATTTTTCGGACAGGGAAACAGAGGCCCAGAAGGTTAAATTTCTACCTTTTCCTCCCTGCCTCAGGCTGGGACTGTCTCCTTTGCATCCCGCAGTCCCTGCTCCCCGAAGGGGAGGCAAAGGGGACACCCACGGCCTCGATAGTTCCAAACGCTGCGTGGAGACCCCAACGTCCCCCGCCAACCGGGACAACAGTCGGCCTCGCGCGCAGGCGCGCCTAGATGGCGCTCGCTGCGCGCCAGATGTGTAGGCCCCTCCCGGCCGCCGGCTCCCTCCTCCGGAGCGGGGACGGAGGGTGGGGGGGGGAAGCAGGCGAGCGGGCCAGGCCCCGCCCAGCCCACAGGCCCCGGCCGGGGAAGGAGGAGGCGGAGAGCCGAGCTGGCGTAACGAGACTTTACTGAAAACAGAAAACCGGGCGAACGAAGGATTACAAACAGGAATGTGGACTCGTAGCAAAACAAAACAAAACAACAAAAAGGGCGGGAGGAGGGGTGTCGGAAGGACGGAAGCGGGGGCGCGAGAGCGAGGAAAGGGGAGGAGGGAGTTTTTTTTCTTCTTCCCATTTCTTTAAAAAACCAACACAAGAAAACACACACACACACATACAACCAACGTTTGTTCCCGAGTAGAAACATAAATAGGGCAGAATCGAACACTCTGTTCTTCTCTCTTCCAAAGGCCAAAAAAAAAAGTAAAAGAAAAGCAAATGCAGGGCTTGAGGCTGCGCCCCCTCGGAGCCCCCTTCGGCGGCGGTGTGTACAAAGGGGCGGCCGGGGCGCGCGGGTTTGTGCAACACCGGGTGGCCCCGCGCGGGGTACAGAGGAAGCGCGAGGGCGGTGGGGTCATGCGCTCGCCCCCCAGGAGCAGGGGGTCCAGCTTGTCGAGTCTGAGGCGCCCTCTCCGAGTCATGGGCACCCTCCGGGGGAGGGGGGGTCCCCGGGGCCGCGCCCTCTCCGAGTCCGGGGCGCCCACGCCCCCCTCCCATGCGAACCCGCCTCTCAGGGAGGGGGCCGCGCATGCGCCCCACGCGCGGGCTCAGTACGCGGGCACCTGGTGCTGGGGCAGCAGCTGGCAGCCGCTGTTGACGTGGCTGAGGACCTTCTGCTTGAGCTGCGCCACCTGCTCGCGCAGCAGGCTCGCCGTGGACGCCAGCTCCGTGTTCTGGCTCTTGAGCGTCTTCACTTTCTCCTCGAGGCGCGAGATGCGCTCCAACTTGCGCTTTCGGCACTTGGAGGCAGCGATGCGGTTGCGCAGCCGCTTGCGCTCCGCCTTAATGCGCTCCTGCGTGTCCATGTCGATGGGCGACAGCGGCGGGCTCTCGCCGAAGCTCGGCACATCGGGAACCGTCTGCGGCTCATCCTTGAGCGTGGCCAGGCGCGGCGGCCCCAGCGCGCCTGGGGGTGGAGGTGGTGGCGGGAAGGGCACGGGCTCGGCGGCAAAGGCGACTGTCGCAGCGCCCCCCGCACCCCCGGTGCCGCCCGCGTAGCTGCTCAGGTTCGCGTAGACCGGCGCCTCGGGCGTGGCCGCCGCCGGGGCCAGCTCGCCGGGAGGCGCGGC